CTGCTACTGCCTGGGATACCAAACACTGCCAGCAAACAGGCAAAACCTAGAAGGAAGAGAGGATACCATTCCCACACACCAGGTCTCAGAAGCAGCATGGCCCTGAGGCAATAAACTCCCACTTATTGTGAAGCAATAAACTTCTGCTGTTTTAGGCTACCAAGTTTGTGGTCATTTGTTACAATACCCCTAGAAAACTGCAACAATATATGGGTGCAGTTCTTGCAAAGAACTCATGTCAGATTTTCTCATTTACAGTTAATTCTCTATTCAAAACTTTAAGAATATCTTAGAGCGCTTTCAGACAGTCTTTCTCCCCACTGACAGCTGTTTTACAACATGCTTAAATCCAATGAAACTGCTTCTGACAGTTTCTAACCCTAAAATTACAATACTTTCATTGTTTACTCAATTCTGGAAAGCTATAATATGAACACAGTTCTATTTTACTCTAAAGCCCATTAAGCTAATTCCATAGTTCCATAAGATTAAAAGAAACAATGAAGTTTGATTCAAAGTCATCTTTAAAATTGTGACCAAGACATTTAAAAGATAATAAACTTTAGTAGAAGGGCTGGGGATAAAACTCAGAGGCACAGCACCTGCCTGGCAAGTGCAAGGTCCTGAGCTCAATCCCCGGTACCAAAAATGAATAAATAAACAAAGTTTAGTACAAAGGAATTTCTAAAATTCTATGATACATCTAAGGCGTATGAATATGTAAAAATTATACAAGCATTTTTAAATACCAGATTTGGTGAAATGGATAGTTTGTATTATGCTTATTGATTAAAATTTCTCAGTGTCAATAATTTGTACTTCTTTATATATTTTTCCAATCTTCCTGTTTCCCACACAGTCTATAACTAACAATAACTAAAAAGTCTGTGACTTCCTCATTTAGGAGCAGTGAAGGAGGAAAAGCTAACATCCATAATGATGCATACTTTTTAAGCTGTGAGCAAGGCCTCCAACACAGGGACACTCGAGAGGATACAGTCACTACTGCCAGAGTTACTTCTGTCAGGATTCAGAGTTTAAAATCTAAAAGCTAACACTGGAAAGGAAAGAAAACCCTAAGGGGAGCTTGGCCCTGCAGACATAAGCTCCCTCAGTATTCCGCTGGCAGGGAGGACGTTGCTGAGAAAGAACTGCCACCACAGAAAGCTCAGGTGTATGAGCACAGAGGGGCTCTCAGATTAGTAAAAGTGACAAGAGACCAAAGAACACGTTTCAGCCATGGAGCAGTTTATTCTTTTTAATGTAAAAAATTATTTTAAAAATATAAATACAATTAAGAATAAAAAATTTTCAATGACCATAAAACAAAGATTTGTAGACCAAAACACATAAAATACACTAATTTAATTAGTGGTGTTTTGTATTAACTTTTACAATTTAAATGTACGGTAATAGATGTAATATCTTAAAATATCAAGTGTGAAATTGCCTGAAACTGCTTCACAAAAACATAAAATTACTAATTTACTTAGTAAAAAAATAGAAAAAATGAAGGTATAATTTAAGTAACTGTATACTTTTCTCAGATGTTTTAGACCCACTGCTTTCTCTATAGTTCTGGATATAAGTCATGTCGTACATTATAAAAACAACTTCTGAAATCTTCCCTTTCTCCTAGAGACATTTTACACTATATTTGGTAACTCTGTTACAATACAGTAGCATGAACATTAGGTAGAAAAAATAGTGGCCATTACACAAAAGATAAATTATGAAGTTCTTTACAGATTAAGTGGAGATATGACATAAAAATAAAAACAGAAGCTGGGCATGGTGATGTACCCGTATAATCCCAGCTGGGCTATAATTTGGGAGGCTGAGGCAGGAAGATCACAAGTTCTAGCCAAGCCTGGGAAATTTAGCAAGACTGTCTCAAAATTTTTTTAAAAGAATGAGGGGAGGTAGCCCAAAGTAAAGGCTCTGGGTTCAAACTCCAGTACTAACTAAATAAGAATGGATGTAGCTCAGTTGTTGAGCACATACCTAGCATGCATGGGCAAAAAAATTGTGTGTGTGTGTGTGTGTGTGTGTGTGTGTGTGTGTAGAGATATACACACACTCTGAGTATTAGCTACAACTCATTCAAACCAACACTACTACACTGTTTACCTAAACCATATACATCAGTATAAGTATTGTGCTAATTATAGGAATCATCTCATTAGATCCTCACAACCTTTCAAAAGGCACTAATATTACTACCATTTTCCAAACAGAATTGGGGGCCCAACAGTTAAATTACTTTACATCCTAGGGCAGGTAAATGATAGAGCTACACACAAAGCCAAGTCTCCAAGCCTCCAGAGCTGACTCTAAACCACTCATTATACCAACCCTGTAAATTGGTTAACTGACTGTGATATAAACATCTTGTTACATGTCATCATATATTCTAGGAATGTATATAATCTCTTCATAAATAAACATGTTCACTATACTACATAATATTTAATAAATAAATATACGTTCAAGTAAACTCCCAAAACATTTTACAAAATTTTCACTTTTATTAAGAAAGGGTAGAGGGGCTGGAGATATAGCTCAGTGACACAAGGGTCTGCATGGCAAGCAAGCGCACGGTCCTGAGTGTGATTCCCAGTATAAAAAAAAAAAAGAAAGGGTAGAAAGACAGGAAACTTTCTGAATTTTTTTCCTGTTCACAAGTAAAATTTAATCTAACTGTTTATGTGGACAAATTCTCCTTTATAAAAGACTCACAGCTAATAAATACAGTACAGGGGAGAGAAGAGAAAATCAGAAAAGCCATTATTTTACAAGCCCTAATAAAATAATACATCCAGGCGATGCAAAGAGTGAGTGCTAAATCATAAGTAATATTAAGTGTGGGAACATTCCAATGGATAGAGTCCCTCAAGCACCTAGCACTACCTCTGAAATATTTTTCTTTTTAAAAAAGGGTAAATTTAATCAAGTCACTACCTCTGTCCACATACAGAAAATGTGAGGGACACTATGTATCTAAAATGGCATCAGCATAATGTCACCCTAATCCAGAACATGGAACATTCTAAAGAAATACCACATAGGTCCTACAACAAAATAGAACTGAGAAATAGATGACCTTTTATTGATTCTGAAAGATTATGAGATATATCAATCAAACAGAATATACAGACCTTATTTGGACCTTGATTTGAACAAGCCAACTATATTTTTTTAAAAAGGGCATGTCTTGGATCATCAAAAATATATAGTAAGAAATTACTGCTGTTGGACACAGAAATGATAGTGTGATAACAAAAACAGAAGGCCTGTAGCTGATAGCAATCACACTAAAGAATCTGCCAATCAAGCAGAATGGGAGACATGTGCTTTTATAATATTCCAGGAAAAAATAAGGGCAGGGAAGAAAAAGATGAAATAAAAATAGCAGAATGATCATTGTTGAAACTGTGTAACAAGTACTTTTGTGCAGACTTGAAAACTTCCTAAGTATAATTAGAAATAATGTGTATGTTCTGTTTGGATTCTGCTTGAAATAATCTAACTGCAAAAGGGCAATTCTGAGAAAACTAGAGAACACACGTACTTTATATTAAGGAATTAAAAACTGCTGGATGTCTCTCTAGTATTCCGGTTATGAAATACTTATTTAGTAGAGTTATGTACTTAAGAGAGAAATGGTAATTGTTGTAACCTGACCAAAGCGCCGCTATCCTGTTCTGTATGCGCCGTTTCCCCTCACCCTCCAGTCACCCATTGTACCCTCAAAACCCCCTACTAAAAATCCCCTGCTACAGTTCCCAGGCAATGCAAAACCACAAGAGCCAACTTGTTAACTTGATGTTCTTGTGAAAAACATCGGTTCTGAGAATTATAACCACCAAAAGTACCTAGCCCCCTGCAAAGACAAGATCTGGGTATTGAATGTCCCCCCTTTACCCTCTGCGGTTTTTCCCTTTATAAGCTCCTCGCTGCTTCTCCTCGGTGTGCAGCAATGAAGAGCCCATCTGTACTCTGTGCCACTGGGTACCAGCTTAAATAAAGTGCTACTTTTTGCAAAGAGACGTCTCATTCTTTTTGGGGGTCCTTTTTCCTCGGTAGAGCAGTAATATTCAGAGGAACTCACCCCAGAGAAAGTATCTAGGATTTGCTTAAAAATACTCCAAGAAAAACAAAGTGTAGACAAGAAAAAAAAATTTTAAAAAGGTGGAATACTGATAATTGTTGAATACACTAGGTCATTTATATCATTAACTAGTTTAACATAATATAGTATAAATTATTATACTCGTTTGAAAAGTTCCACAATAAAAAAAATTAAGGAATGACTTCTAGGCTTAAAAAAATACTACTATAACCAAGTAACTGCAAACTGCTTTCACTTTAGTTTAAAAGGGCTACTCTCAGTGAACATATACATAGATATACACAGTGGCACCTTGGTTCATGAACTTAATTCTTTGGTTCTTGTTTGGACTGCAACCAGAACCACAGAAACAATTAAATTTGTCAACTGAGGTACCACTGTATATAAAATATACCTTAATTAAATATCTACAACTACATATATTTCAAGACAAAAAAGAATGACATGATTTCAACAAAGCAGAAATGTATAAACTTAAGACATGTTCATGTAATAGTGATAATGAAGGAAGTGGTCATTAAGAGACTGCAAAGTTGGATAGAGAATATATATAGTAGGCACTCAATAAATGTTTCTGCATGAATGATATTCTATAAATGATCTTATTTCCTCTTACAGCACCTAGAAATGTTTAGTTTAAATTTCTATAAATACTGTATTCAGTGAAATTAAGCTTTTTTAATTTTGGTATATTTTTGAAAATTAAGTTTTTATATAAGAATATCTTTACCATAATAAAATCACTATTTAAGAACTACGAAAAGACTCTATATACAAATTAATTCAACTTGATCATTACACATATCAAGACAATGAGGCCCAGAATAATAAAGTATATACCTCTATTTACATTCAAACATTTACTCACTTCATAAGACCTGAATTCTTCTTACTAAATGGTCCAACGATTTTAAACATCAGCTCCACAACTCCATTTTTCCCTAAGGTTACTGAATTCACAGCTAAGAGGGGGAGAAAAAGATGCAAAATTATTTAAAAACTTTAATAACTAAAAATGTGTATATTTAGGGATACCCAGCCAAAAACTTATATGAAGAGTTTAATAAATGTGAACTCAAGTTCACATTTAACTCACGTTCACTTGAGGGGAAGTTGGGGGAAAGGTTTGTTTTTATAGGAAGATGCAAGTAAACTGTAAAACAAGTTATATATCCCAAAATACGTTATAAAAAAGATACTTCAATTGCTCCATTTGCTTCTTCAAACCATTTAGTGACAAGCAGATTGAGAGACAAGAATAAACAGTCTCTGCTCCGAGAAAACTGTGTAGAGAAAGTGAAACAACAGTAAATAACCACTAAACTCTATACAAATAGGTTATGAGTTGTGGGTTATTTGGGGTATGTGAGGACAAGGCCCCATTTAGAGTAAGACAGAGGCATTTCTGAGAAAATAATGCTTTGGCACAGTCTCTAAATAGAAGTTGGCCAGGACAAGAGTTGAAGTTGGGGTAGATATGGTTCTGGAACGTCTCCAGAGACAGGGCATCAGTACAATAAATCAGAGATAACGAATACCATGAGTATGTGCATTTAACACGCTGTTAAACACATAGTAAAAAACAAAACACGCAAATGGTAAGATGAGGTGGGAAAAGAAGGTAAGAAAAAAATTAGGAGCTCAGTGTGATGGCACACACCCGCAATCCCAGTACTCTGGGGCAGGCTGAGGCCGGATCACAAGTTTTGAGTCCTGCCTGGGAAAGTTAGTGAGACTCTGTCTCAAAAAAGGAAAGGCTCAGTGCAAAGGCCCCAGGGGTTCAACAGAAGGGAAGGATGGGGGAGGGACAGAGGAAGGCAGGGAGAGAAAGACAGGAAAGAAAGAAATTATGAAAACCCCTAAAAGTTAATCTTTCAGGTACAGGGAATTGCACAAAAGAAACAACACATCGTATCTGCATTTTCAATTTTCAACGAAACATGTCAGAACCCACAGCACTGTAGAGAAAATGGACCTGAGACACTGTAAAAGGCCGAGATCTGGGTGAGATGTAACAAGGACCTTAACTGAAACAACTGAATTAAGGAAAAGGAGGGTATTATCTAACTGAGAAACTGTGCCTACCTTTTCAGTGCTCAATATTATTTTTAAAAATTACAGATAACAATTTTTCTAGCTTTCTAGTGGTTAAGTAAAAAAAAAAAAAAAAGCTACCATAAATGCAGCTCCTAATGCTCTAAAGGATGGTCTTAATTTTCTCTGTGTATCACTCCACTATCCTAACTGTACCATTTCCTTTACTATTTCATTTCTATATGTACTGTCTTCCACTTTCCTTGACTAGCATATTATATGGCTTATCTGTTTTATTTCTAATCCAATTTTGCTTTAATTTTTAAACTGACTTTCGATTTTCTAATGTATTTCCTATTTCATTCCTCTACTTTCTTTTGAGTTTTTTTCTGCTGTTAACTTTTTTGGTTAGCTATCAAATCCCTTTTCGTATGTTGTTATAACTATGTAGATGTCCACTATTTAAGTGTTCACAGCCATCTGAGCACATGTTTAGCCACATTCCATACAGAGACACATATACATACACTTACATTTAGGCGTTTTCATGTCTAAAGACAAACACAGACAGCTAGCATTTTACCACCATTTTACAAAGATACTATTCTGCAACAACATATACTCTACAATCCCCAAGCTAGGTTCTTTCATTAGACACTCCAATTTCACAGTCACAAATGAAAGGGAAACACATCCGTTCCCGGTTTGGGACCACTGTGGTTCAGTGACCACTGTGTCTCAGGAGATGCTGTGTCTCTGCAACCCCTCTTCTCTTGAGCTTTCTGGGAGGCTCATCTATGAGTTACTTTCTGATCTGCTACTTCCATATTCACTGCTGAAAAATAGCCCCAGCTGACTGTGCTTGTATGCCTTTGTCCTTGGCTTTCTTCTCACTCATGAAAATCTGAAAAGATATATGGTTTTTCTAGTCTCTCATGTTCTTATCCCTCATCACTTTTGTAGCTGGATTTAGGAGTTACAACAAGCCATACTCAATCTTCTTTCCTCTTCCACAAATTTGAGAGGTTCACAGAATTAAGGTAGTTTAAAATTTCCATGTTATATAACTTCACAATACTGAGTTAACTAAACTCCACGCTGAAATACTCACAGTTGGCAGAATAAACTCGTAAAAGCTGAAGACAAGGTAGAACCAATCGATGATTCTGTAGATTCTGTTTGACCAAATTCAGGGTTATGTTCAGAGCCCCATTAATTCTAGCTTTCACTCCAAATTTTTTATCTGTTTAAAAAAAAAGTAATTTAAGTATAACTGTTGGATAAAAATCATACAGCAATGACACTGTAAATTTATATTATGAATTTATATCCTCAAATATGAAGTTAACCTGCAAATTAAAACTGTAAATTTGTATGATTTTTAAAATGGTCCACACACTTTTGGAGCATGGTTTGGAAAATGTACCAAGGGGCAGGAAAGAGAATAGGGAGGCATGATAAGGCTGGAAGAGCCCAACACAGGAGGTCAGGAGAAGACATTCACTGATCCAATGCACATGGGGGCACACAAACACACGGAGGCATGCCTGTGGTTCTGACATATGTCTTCCTTTTACTACCATTCTTAACAGAATTCATGAATTTCCTAGCCTCAATTCTCACACGTTACTAGATGACTAAAAAATGCATTCCACTTCTAAAACCAGGAAAATGCAGCATTTTAGATTTTAAAACTTAAGCAGTGTTTTAAGGCAGAAACAATGTTACAAACACAGTTTTCGCTTTGATAATCACACAGGCAGGTGAAGCTCTTACCTTTTGGTCCAATCTTGGCAAGAACAGAATGAACCTGCACCATCAACTCTTCATGTGGGGGAGATTCTCTGCTGGCATTCACAAGTAATTGTAACAGTATCTGTGAACCACCTTTGGCAACTAAAAAACTCGCTTTTCGACCTCCACCTAAAATTAAAAAATCAAAACAAAACCTTTGAACAGTAAATCCTTAGTAGGTATCACTACTTGATAGCCATCTAGAAATATTTAAATTGATGATTTCTAAAATCAAACAAATGTACTGAAATCATACTTTGGCTTACTTCATCTACTGATTAAAAAAAAAAAAATAGCACACAAAGAATAAACAAAATGATGCAAAAATTCTAGAGTCCAAGCTCTGAAACTTAGGGTGGCTGAAGGATGCTTGAATATAGCAAAAAAACCAACAACCAAAGAATATGGCATCTCAGTTTCTGAACTCCAATGCCAGAGTAGCCTCTATATGTACTAAAAAAATAAAAGTATACATGACACATTGCAGATGACTGTGTACCCAGAAATGAAGCCAAAGAGAATAAAAACTTACCAGCTGACACCAGCTCAACAAGAATGCTTAAAACATTTAGTGTAGTTTGAAGATCTTTCATGTTCTGAAATAAATAGTTAATTTGGTTTATTAAAACACTGAGAACTTTTGATTTGCAAATTTCTGTACCTGTTGGGAACCACCTATATTTCCCAAAGACCTTTCCACTTTCTCTAGGAACTAATGTGTTCATGTTTCCACTATGCTCATAACTTCAGTCTCTTCTCCTTGCCTGTAAGAATTTTTACAAATCATTTGAGCTATTATTTTCTTAGTATCAACATTCCTAGGGGCTGGGGATTTAGCTCAGCAGCAAAGCGCCTGCCTGGCAAGCGCAAGGTCGTGAGTTCAGTTCCCGGTACCGGAGAAAAACCAAAAATCCAAAGGAAAAAAAAAAAAAAAACAACATTCCTGCAAGATGAATTAATTTGTCATTTCAACTCATCTTTCTACTAAATAGATAACAAAATATACATAGAGACTACTCAGTCACTCAACTCCTGTCTCAGAAGACAATCCTGTTATCAGTTTCTCCTGAACCCTGCCCAAGATAGGAAGCACACACAAAAGAAATCCATGCAAACATACCTGTACAGACATACAGACTTATTTCTCCAGATGGTGCTGCCCTATAGAGACTATTTGGTACCTTGGCATTTACATAGCAATAAATAAAGAGCTTCATTTTTTAAGAGCTACAGGATAAAGTCTATTTTTTAATAACTTACTGGAATATTTGTAGCAACTATATACCTAAAAAGACAAAGTCTATTTTAAGTTTATGGTATGTACATCATCCCACTCAATTTGCACCATTCAACTTATCAAGTAAACCCTCAACCCTCTGTGTACAATGCTACCTTTACCAAAAAGCACAAAATTCTCATAAGCATTTTATTTTGGGATTTTCTGTTTTGTTACATTGGTATCTATCTACATGTACAACCGCTACACTATTTTAATTATTAAAGTTTTATCATGTTCTTTGATATTCAGTAAAGATGGTCTTTTCTCGTTTCTTTTTTAGGAAAGTCCTTTCTATTTCTGCTTATTTTTCTCCCTATGGACTTCAGAAGCAAGACTGCTGGTATTTTATTCAGATTGCTCTAAACTGGCAGATCAATTTAGGGAGAAATGTCATGTTTATGCAGTTAAGACTTCCTATCAAAGAATATGAATTCATTCCTTATTCTTAATATTGTACTGAATAAAATATAGAGTCCTGATTCCAAATACATTTACCTTAGCCTACTCAAAACTTTTATACTACCATAGAAATTCAACTATCATTAATATGAGGTGTGATTTAAAAAATGGTGAATATTTAAATTTTAACAAATTATTACAGTAAAAGTTAATTGCCATTAATCCCCGCCAAAATATTCCCCCTCACTTCAAAACACAAGTTGTGAGATATAGATATAGATAGATGATATAGACATAGACATAGACATAAGACATAGATAGATATATAAAAACATCTGGTACTGTGCAACTTACAACTTCTCCTCAAAGTCTAAATGACTGTGAAAGCTAAACATTCTGAATCAGTTCAGAGTATCAGAGCATCCAAGACAATACACAACTAAAGACACAATAAAAGACTTCCACAACTGTTTCAGAAAGTGGCAAGAGCCAGATGTGGTGGTGCACACCTGTAGTCCCAGCACTTGGGAGGCTGAGGGAGGAAGACTGCTACAAGTTCAAGTCCAGCCTGGTCTACAAAGTGAGTTCAAGGCCAGCCTGGACTACATAGCAAAACCTTGTCTCAGAGATACAAACAAACAAAAACAATTGCAAATATAATAAAATAAAATTTATTTACAGAGAAAGTGGTCAGAATAATGGAACAGTCTACAGCCATACCACCCTGAACGTGCCTGATCTCGTCAGAATAATGGAACAAGTGTGTTCAAAGCAAGGGGGAGTATTTTGGGGCATTAATGCAATGTGTCTTTTACCATAGTTAATTTTTTTATTTTAACATACATGGTATTTTTCATCATACTTCACATACTTAGATGTTTAAATAATATATACTAAAATACTTGTACTGCCATGGCAAATAATAATTTAAAACATAAAACCAGTTTTCATTCATTGGTTTTATCTCTATGAAAAACTTTATATTTCATGTGTGTACACACATGTTGGTTTTTTCCTTCAGTACTGCTTCCTATTAGTTACATAATTAAAGAAAAATAATTACAGTGTTTACCTCTAATGTTGACAGCAGAACATCCACTGCTGTAGAGCCTTTGGCTGTCATTTCTCTCCTTGTTTTTTCTGAAAAGTACAAAGTGATTTCTTTAACATGAATGAAAAAAGTATATAACATACAGCTAATACAAAATCAACCAGTCTCCACTGGCCCAGAAGACGTCAACAGTGTCTTCCAGGTGCTCTTCCACTGAGGCTGCAGTTCTGAGGGGACTTCTAGAGTTTCGTTAACAAGCCCTTCCTTGCATTTCTTCTCAGCTCTATGAATGAGTCTATCCATTTAAACCCTCATCCAACCTTATCAAAAAGAAGCAAGAAAAGACTCAAATCCATGCAAACAGTAATGAAAAGGGTGAAATCACAATGGACCCTACAGAAATCCACAAGATTTTCTACACCTACGTTGAAAACTTGTATTCTAATAAGATGGAAAAAGCAAAAGAAATGCACAGATTTCTAGATACATATGAATTACCAAAGCTGAATCAAGAAGATATAAAAATCCTAAATACACCACTATTGACTGATCAATGAAATCTAAATAATTTAAAACCTACCAACAAAGAAAACCCCAGGCCCTGACAGGATTCACTGCTGAATTCTACAAGAAATTTAGAGAAGACAGAACACCACTACTTCTCAAATTCTTTAATGAAATTGAAAGGGAAGCAATACTTCCAAATTCATCCCTGGAAGCAAGTATTACCCTGGTACCAAAACTGGAGAAGGATCCAACTAAAAAAGAGAACTATAGGCCAATCTCCCTAATGAACACAGATGCAAAAACCCTCCATAAGATACTGGCAAATAGAATACAACAAATCATCAAGAAGATTATACACACCATAACCATGTGTGATTCATCCCAGGGATGCAAGGATGGTTCAACATACATAAATCAATAAATGTAATACACCACATTAACAGAACCAAGGACAAAAATCTTGTCATCATTACAGTAGACGCAGGAAAAGCTACTGACAAAGTCCAGAACCCATCTGTGATTTAAAAAAAAAAAAAAAGAAAAGAAAAGAAAAAAACCTCTAGAGAAAGTTGGAATAGATGATCTTTATCTCAATCTGATAAAAGCCATTTATGTCAAAACAACAGCCAACAACATACTAAACGGACAAAAACACTGACAGCTTTCACTCTAAAATCAGGAACAAGGGCCGGGGATATAGCTCAGCAGCACAGCACCTGCCTGGCAAGTACGAAGTTGTGAGTTCAATTCCCAGTACCAAAAAAAAAAAATCTAAATGAAATCGGGAACAAGATGTCCACTATCTCAGAACCTAAATGAAGTCAGGAAGAGATGTCCACTCTTTTTTTGTTGCTGTTGTTTTAAAAATAAAAGGAGGAAAACATTAACAGACAACATATTACAAAATAGCAAAAGAACAGACAATACGGAGTTACACACCAAGTGGTAGGGAATTAACAATGCTTGTTGTATTACGTATTGATATCTTCAAAGTGGCTTCTCATGAAAACAAATAGAGACATGCAATACTGACCAACCAAGGACTCATTGACAGTTTCTTTCAGAAAAGAAATACAAGACAGTAGAACAACCATGTTAACTATCCTGTATATACATACATACAAAATTTCTCCTTCTTTCCCTTCTCTTTTCCCACATCCCAGTTGCCCTTTACCCTTGAGCGATTTCCTATCATTTTACGATGTCTACTCTTATTCAACATAGTCCTGCAAACTTTTGCCAGATCAATTAGACAAGAGAAATAAATAAAAGAAATAAGGATAGGAAAGGAAGAAGTTAAACTATTATTATTTGCAGATAACATAATACTCTACATAGAGGACCCTAAAAACTCCACTAAAAAACTGCTAAATTTACTAAGCGAAGTCAGTAGCGTAGCTGGATACGAAGTCAACACTCAAAAATCAATAGCATTCCTGTACACAAATAGCAAACTTCCTGAGAAAGAAATTAGGTAAACAACATCTTTCATTATAGCATCCAAAAAAATGAAATACCCAGGAATCAATCTAATGAAGGATGTGAAAGACCTCTACATTGAAAATTACAGTACTCTGAAAAGGGAGACTGAAGCAGATATCAGAAAATGGAAATATATCCCTTGCTCTTGGGTAGGAAGAACCAATACAGTGAAAATGGTCATACTTCCAAAACTGTTATACAGATTTAATGCAATTCCAACAACAATTCCAACAGCATATCTCACAGAATTAGACAAAACAATCCTAAAATTCATTTGGAACCAGAAGAGACCTAGAATAGCAAAGGTAATTCTGGGCAACAAAGGCAAGGCAAGGGGTATCACAATCCCCAACTTGAAATTATACTATAAAGCTACTGTGATAAAAAACATCATGGTCCTGGCCAAAAAAAAAAAAAAAAAAAAAACAGACCTAAAGATCAATGGAACAAATCAGAAGATGCAGAAACAACTCCAGACATACTCACATACCTTATCTTTGACAAAGGTGCCAAACATATTCACTGGAAGAAAGATAGGCTCTTTTACTATGGTGCTGGAAAAACTGACTCTGCACATGCTGAAGATTAAAATTGGACCCCTATTATTCACCATGCACTAAACTAAATTAGAAATGGATCAAAGATCTAAATATTAACACAGAAACATTAAATCTGCTGGAAGATAGAACAGGTAAAATTCAAGAAGACATTTGTATAGGCCAAGATTTTATGAATAAAACCCTAACTGCCCAGGAACTATCACACAAAGAAGGAACAACTGGGATCTCATCTTATTAAAAAGTTTTTGTTTTTGTTTTCTTTTTCAGACAGGGTCTTGCTATGCAGGTCAGGCTGGCCTTGAACTCACTTTGTAGCCCCGGCAGGTCTCAAACTCACAATGATCCTCCTGCCTCAGTCTCCCCAGTGCTGGGATTACAGGCATGTGCCTCCACACCCAGCTTAAAAAGCTTCTGAACAGCAACAGAAAGCACCAACAGAGTAAAGAGACAATCCACAATGTGAGAAAAAAATGTCTGCCAGCTATTCCTCAAACAAAAGATTACTATTAAGAACATATAAAGAACTCAAAAACATGAGACCTCCCAAATTTAAAGACCCCATCTAAAAATGGGAATCTGAGATGAATACATACTTCTCAGATGAAGAAATACAAATAAAATATATGAAAACACGTTCAATATCACTGGTCATATGAAAGATGCAAATTAAAACAATACTGAGATTCCATCTCACCCTGGAAAGAATGGCTATTATCGAGAAATCAACCAATAACAAATGCTGGAAGGGCTAGGGAGAAAAAGGAACCTTTCTCCACTGTTGGTGGGAGTGTAGACTGCTGCAACCATTTGGGAAATCAATGTGGAAATTCCTCAAAAAACTATTAGAGGTCCCATTGGACACAGCTATTCCCATTCTGGGTATCTTCCCAGAAGAATTAAAAACATCATACCACAGGGATATTATCTGCAACCATATTTATATATATTATATATCAGCACAACTTGTAATACTGTAGCTAGATCTTGGAAACAACCCAAATTCCCACCAAATGAGAAATGGATAAAAAAAGATATGGTCTTTTTATATAATGGAATACTATTCAGACATAAAGAAGGATAAACTGGAGACTTTTATAGGTAAACAGATGCAACTTGAGACCATACTCATAAGTGAAATATACTAGACACATACTAGTTAAGATAGTTATCCTACTAATTCAGTTCATTGAAAAGAAAGGTTTGTGCTAACATTGTTTGGGCAATTAAATGCCAATATCTTATACTTTAAGTATCTAATTTAAAGATACCAATACCCACTGCATTAACCACTGTTATCCTCCTATTATCCTGTTTTGAAATTTGGGGGGGGGGGGGTTTTCCCCTTTAAAATAAAAAAATGCCATTTATTTCACATTTTGAAATTTAAAAAATAAAAAACAATCCACTACACTACATAATATAGTTAGTACATAATCCAACAACAAACTTCCAAGGGCTGTAAGGATAAATTCAGTGTACCACATGGAGAGAATCCAGGGAGTCTAAGAGCAGAACAAGGAACACTGGAGCCGGATGAGAGGAAAACATAACACAGATGGGAGCAGGCAGGACTCAGTGTAATACGTGATGAAGACATCACACTTTTGCTCAGAGCACGCCCTGTCTGACACCCATTTAAAATTGTTAGTACACATTTGAAAAAGAGGGGCAAATGTAATACAAAGAGGTTATACTACATTGTTATTTATGACATCAATAGCTGCCTATTAAATAAATACGCTACAGGTTAATGTCGATGTCATATTTATCTTTAGAGCAATCCTCTTATGCAATTATGTGCCATCTCAAATCCAGTTAATGAACTTTGTTAAACTTACAGAAATCTTAAGTCATTTAAAACAGAAACTCCCATAAGTGATACAAAGATCTAAAACACTGTTCCTCTCTGCTCTCTGCTGTTATATTGTCAATGCTTAGAAAAAAGACATTTCCTTACCTATAAAAAAAAAAGAAAATCTCATTAATGTTAACAAACTAAATTTCTCCTTTTTAAAAAGTATGAATTGTCTGAGAATCTAGCCTACCCTCCATGCTCTCCACAGTGCAGCTACCTCCACCAAAAAAACTGTTGAAAAAGTAAACAAATAAAATACTGTTTCAAAGATCCAATGCATTCCTGATATATTTTTGTTTTGTTTTGTTGAGACAGGGTGTCACTATGTAGTGAATTTGCGGTGATCCTTCTGCCTCAGCCTCCCAAGTGCTGGGATTACAGGCATGTGCCCCCACGCCCAGCTTCATGATATAATATTCACAGATTGATTTAATAAAGTCAAATCATTTTTAAATATAGATCACACTGACTATTCAGAAGATAGAGAACCCATTACTAAGAAGCCACTACATTTTGCCTTCATGGACAAGAGGTTGGGAAGAGCAGGAGTCTTCCTTTAAAAATAGCACCACTCGGCCTCTAACTCCCTATGCTAATAACATCCACCGCCATCTTGCTTAGCTTCAAACCAAATGAAAACTAGGTGTTACATATTGTATTATGTATTTTCTGTTCTACTCCAGAT